TAGCATCATTTCAGTCCTTCAATAACATTAATTGCGGGAGACAGCAGAAGAAAGGCTGTTTAAGTGCTCTGTCACTTGCGTTGGACCTTTCACCTCATCACAGGCTGGAATGCGTCCTCGAGCGCGCCACAGTGCCACATGCACACCTGGAGATTCACACACACAGCCTTTGAGGAGCGAATCAAGCAGATTCAACAAAGAAACTCTCGCGGTTGCGCGCTTTCCGATTTGGAGCCACACATCCTTATCACTAACAACCTTTAATACAAATACATCCAATTGCATATTTTAAAACACAAATACTACAGATAAAAAAGCATAATCATCAATAACATAAACACAAATTATACAGTAATATTAAATTCGTGCCAGTTTGTTCTGATTGCATTTTACGCAGTGATTTAAAATCCGTTTTTTGTAGTTTCGTAAAATCTGCTAAATCTGCACAATTACAGTTAGGTTTTCCACATTAAATGAAGCTAAAATGACAAAAAGTCCTGCATTTAAAATGTAGATAACGCGTAAAATTGATCGACATCACTGCGCGCCATGGGCGCGCTCCTCCGACCCTTTCCACATGTTTCGGCATATTTGGAAATAATGCAACTGTTCCAAAGTGGCTTTATAAACATGACTTGTTTTTTAGAGGCCGACTAAATAAAAAATAAATCCGAATCTCTCAGTTCTTTATCGTGCTTGTTTAATAGATTACGCGGCCAGAGAAAAGGCGTAAATATTCGTCAGTTTACGAAAAAAAAAAACGTTTCCAAGGTTTAATTGTTAATGCATAATAGGCTACTTTTCCATGAATCACAAGAACGTGAGACCTTATCGAATAAAAGCAGGCTGAGTTTAAATGATCAAGAAGGAATTCGAATAAACACATTTCTGACCTGCTTTGTTTTTGTGACTTCACATTCCATTTCTTATTTAATTATAAAACTACAAACTATCGATTTATTACCTGGCATGTTTTGTGCGCTTTCATTTCGAACTTCTGCCTTTGACTCCTTTGACTCTTTGAATATTCACAAATTTTCCCTCATTCGCTCTTTTTTAAAGGTTGCTCTGAGCGGACTGGATGTGGAAACACACTGCTGTGTTTTGTGCTTGCTGGCCATGCCCTCTGACTTCATATTCCACAGGGTTGAGAGGTCCTAAATTTGCATACTGAAAAATACCACACGAATTTGAAATAGAAATGATTTCATCTTGTAGGCCTTAGTAAAGTAAATACGCGTATTTAGTGAACCACAAGAGTTTATAAAAAACTATTCATCAAAAAAGTCATTTAAATAGAGCTAATCAGCTTTGGATTGGATTTAATCAAAACACACTGAATTATAGTTCATATTGATTGTTTTTAGCATAAACTGTGAAATTATAGTGTAACCTGACGCATTACATGTTAAACTGAGCTGTCAAGTTTGTCTAAAGAGAAATCTCCGGCGTTTAGAGGAGCATTCAGGTCGTGAGCGCCACTTATCATAATGCGAAAGCTTTGGATAGATTTATGTAAAAAAAAAAAAAAAAAAAAAAAAAAAATGACGCCACGCACTTGGAAGCGCAAAATGATACACATTTGCGAGCGGAGTCGTTCTGATGGCATTCTTTCTGTATCTTTTGCTCCGTGAGTATTTTCTTCAATTACTAGGATGTCAATGGCTCGTTTGGCTCGTTGCTCCGCCCCTCGTATTTGTCGTACAGCAGCAGTCTGACGGGAATAAGGCAGAAATAAGAGCGTCCAGGACTCGCCTCTCTCCAGCGCGCGCAGTCGGAGCTCAGAGAGCGCGGTTACGCACGGAGGACACTTGGCGTCTGGCGGTCGCACTGCATCATCCACCGGCCTGTGGCAGCTTCAGCAAACTCGCTCGCGGGCTGAACCATGTCCTTGAGCCCCAAACATTCAACGCCTTTCTCAGTGAGCGATATTTTGAGCCCGATTGAGGAGACCTTCAGGAAGTTTGCGGCCATGGAGAGCAGCGTGAGCCTGGCGTCTCCTCTGTACAGACAGACTCAGGTGTCTCAGGCGAATCTTCAGCAGCACAGCATGGGCCACAACACCTACCACATGCCGCACTCGCAGTTCTCGCACAGCGCCATGGGAGGATACTGCAACGGGACTATCGGAGCCATGGGGGACCTGCCGTCCTACCAGGAGAGCATGAGGACCGGCGCGACCGCCACGGCCTGGTACGGCTCGAACCCGGAGCCCAGATACCCGACAAGTGAGTCCATTCTGTATATAGCTACAGAAAAATATATCAAACAAAAAAGCTGTCATTTTTTTAAATTAAGTTTTTGCCATTTCACATAGAAAAAATAAATATTGTTGAATTAACTTAAAAAAGTAACTTGGTTAGGCTACCTTCAAATTTCGAGTTCACTGAAATGAATACAATTAAGGAAATTGTTTTAATCAATAGAAACTCAAAATTTTGGAATCACATAGGCTACAGTATGGTTCATAATATCAATAAAGTATTAAGTTACTTTAACAAAAACAAAAGGAAAATATTTTTTTTAATAAAGGTTGTTTACATACTGTCACGACTGGAATTTGGCTTGCATCATGCATTTCATTCTGTAGTGTAGATTATGTAACGTAGCTAAATAATGCATTGATTCCTCATACATCAGAAACCTCAATAAATAAATGGGCCTATAGATAGATAGACTGTGTAAATATTATTTTTCGAAGTTAAAAATAGTACGTTTTAATGTACGTTTTACAAGTAAATATTATTTCAGTATTTTTACTTCACAAATTCACCCGTATCGTTTCCTTTTTATTTCAATTTATGCATTTTATGAGTTAAAATAAGTGAATCGTACAGATTTTTTTTCAGTATATATACAATTTCCCCTAATTCTTTTCTCCTTTCGATTTGCTTAATTCTTATTTGTATTCGATTTCATTTATAATAGTCCTAAATAAGTGGATGTTTTGTAGCTCCATCATCCGTAAAACAGCAAATTGTTTAAAAAATTGTATAGGCCTATAATGCTAGAATATAATTATATATTTCTAAAATAATTTTTGTTTCATACTAATAGGCTTTTATGAGTTGTTGAACTGTATAATGCGTCAAAAACCTCAGATATTGTGGAAGCTAGTAGGCTACACTTATCATTTTGTAAAAGAAACTTAACTGGCATTTAGAATTGGGTTTATAATAAATTATCTCCTATATGTTTTAGCATTTCCTAGATGTGTGGTAGCAGATATATGTTTTAATATTTTATCCTGTAGCCTATGTGTTGCATTTAATTTATTTTATCTCGTATGTTTGATGCACGTTTTTTATCGAATGTGATTTTGCTGTTGATATTTGACTAATTTTGACGTAAAGTACTTTGAACTGCATTTATGCCTGACAAGTGCTATATAAATAACGTTTATTATTATCACACTAATATTAATGTGCTTGTTCTCTGCAGTCTCCAGGTTTATGGGTCCCTCAGCGGGCATGAACATGGGCACATTACCGGGCATGGACGCAAGTAAATCTATGGTGACTTTACACGCGGCGCCGCGCAGGAAACGGCGCGTGCTCTTCTCTCAAGCGCAGGTGTACGAGCTCGAGCGGCGCTTTAAGCAGCAGAAGTATCTGTCGGCACCGGAGAGGGAACATTTGGCCAGCATGATACACCTAACCCCGACCCAGGTCAAGATCTGGTTCCAGAACCACAGGTATAAAATGAAGCGCCAGGCGAAGGATAAAGCGACCCAGCAGCCGGACACCGCTAACCTGTGCGCGCAACAGTCCCCGAGGCGCGTGGCCGTGCCAGTGCTCGTGAAGGACGGTAAACCGTGTCAGAACGGCTCCAGCACACCGACACCGGTCCAGAACGTGATGGGCAGCGATTCTTTAGCTTTAGGATCAGCGGAGGATCTGGAGGAGATGTCTCCCAGTCCTCCACTCATGACTGACGCTGCGCTCATCGAGTACACGAACAGCATGGTGAGCTCCAACCTGCTTTACGGCAGAACATGGTGACACTTCCGCCGGGAAACGGACCAGTACGCGCATTTACAGAAAGACCTTTTTTTAAAACTCATTTTTTAAAAAACTGATTCAGGACCCTCATGTGAATTGTATGGATTGTAACTTTAAATCATTATTGAATGAAAAGCTTCACGCGGATGAGTGTGTGTGTGTGAGATGAGGACTAGTTTAATCCGACATCATTTTTGTTGCTTTGTAAAATACAAGCTAGATGAAGAAGAGATGTTTTGTGTAAATATCTAACACTGGACAAAGAATGCTTTCTTGAAGTCTTTTGTAAGTTTAAAAAGGAAAACAATAAATATGAGTGCTGCAAATATGAAAGAAACCTTTTTTTGTTCCTCAAATAGTTTGAGCAAACCAATTATTCACATCAAATTTATGAAATCTCTTTGAAATAATTGGGGAAAACACTTGTTAAAAATCTTAACTGAAGCGATTTAGAGTAAAAATAGAAAATATTTTAGTTCCTTAGCACGAATTCGTGTCATTGTTTGCTCGCGAAAATAATGCGTCTCAATATACAGCAGGATTTTTTCTTCACCGTTTATATGCATTAATTTTTGTTGATTAAACAAAGCGACCATTATTACCCAAATTAATATTAAAACTGTTTTTATTTTAAAGTGTTTATTGACAGTTGGGTTTTGCGTTGCTCAGTCAAATCTTATTTTTCTCGATTCAAAAGAATTATAATCTAATTGGTCAAAAATTAAAACTGATGAGTAAATCTCCTACTTTAGTAGAAGCTGTGGTTTCATTGTCGTATACCCCATTCACTAATTAATTCAATTTAAACAGACTCTCAAAATGTCCATCTGCATCTATAATTGCTAAGAGATAAGAATATTAATTTAAAAATTAAAATACACTAAAAAAAAATGTTGGGCTCACCACAGCTATGAATTGGGAGTTTATAAATAGAGCAACATTAAAATCGAGAACCTAATGAATGCCACACACACAAAACAAATAAAGCAAACACAGCAGTCTTGTCTCTTATGTGTATTTCATAAGTTTTACAGGCATATTCTTAAAAATCAGTACATAAGAACATTTTGTCAGTAAAACAGAAAAAAAAAAAAAAGAGAAAATCTTTACAAATCAACAGCCCAAAAAAAGACAATGTTATGTTGGAATAGAAAATAAGAGGTGTTCAGCTCCAGTTGTAGCGTCCTCCTCCTCCTCCTCCTCCTCCGCGGTGGTCCTGCTGGCCGTGCGCGGGTCTCCAGCCTCCTCGTCCTCTCTGCTGGTTCTGCTGGTACGACTGATCCCAGCCCTGAGCGCCCTGCTGGAACCTGTGGAGAGCAAACAAGAGCACTTTAAACAAATAAAACTCACTCAAGTAAACAGTCTCCGGGAAGCTTCAGAAAAAATACAAACCGATAGAGCAGTAAAAATAATACAAGTAATAAAGGTAACATAGATTATAAGTAAAGGAACACCACTGTTCAAAAGTTTGAAGTCAATAAGATTGTCTGGGAAGGAAATTAATACTTTTGTTCAGCTAGAATGCATGAAATTTATTAAAAGCAAAAGACATTATCTAACAAAATTTCACAAAACTAATTGTGTGAAATAAATTATTTGCAATTAAAAAAAAAAAAACTTAAATATATATATTAAATGTATATTTTAAAATTATATATATATATATATATATATATATAAATTATTAATATATATATATATATATATATTATATATATAAAATGTATTAATATATATATATATATATATATACACACATATATTAATACATTTATCAATATAAATGTAATATATATATTTAAGTATATATATATATATATATACACACACACACACACACAAATAACATATATTTAAAAAAAAAATAAATAAATATATATATATATATATATATATATATATATAATAAATACATTTAAAAATATAAATTTAAAATATATATTTTTCATTATTTTAAATTGCAAATATTTCACAATTAGTTTTATTGTATTTTTGATAAATTTTAAAGATCAATTTTAATGCTGCTTTGGTGAGACTAGATATTTCCTTTGTCATAAGTTTGTTGTTATAACATCAAAAAAAAAAAAAAAAAAAATTAAATATCCAAATCTTAAGAAAATTGTGGGAATATCTATAGTCATCATATTTTTGACACCCACTAATTTTTCCTGGATGTCTAAGACCTAATCTTTCATTAGACCATTTGAAACTGCAAAAAGCTCAAACCCAAGGCAGAACAATCAGCATTTTAAAACGCAAAATTCCGAACGCCACGAATAACACGTTCTCGTTCCCAAAACCGGCTCACCTACCCACGTCTGTCAAACATCTATCGGTCTCTAAAGCGGGATCTGGACAGACCGGCATCCCTCATTACTGACGCAGGTCACAATCTTCCTGAGGAATCCATAATCCCTCCTCCAGGTTCCTTGTGCGTTTCATTCGGCTCCGTCCTGAACGGTTAAAGAAACTCTGCTCTAATAACTACTGACCTAAGGTGACACAGGGCCACAATGGGCTGCCGGGCCGAAAAAGTTGAACCAAAAGAAGCTGATTAGTCCCTGAAGTGGTCTGGAGCCAGAATCAATGGCGGCTCTGTGCGGCCCCTGTGCACAAGAGACAGTGAACTGCACCCGCATTAGTGCTGCCTCATTAAGCCCCGCAAACCTCTTTACCAGGACATTTGTTTAGCGTGCAGAGAAACTAATTCCAGGCCGGCCCCCCCAGGAAGAACATCAATAACTCGTATCTACACAGGAAGACGACGAACAGCGGGAGGGAAAAGGTAACTCGAGTCTATTTGGTAGCTTCGGATTCTAGAATGCATGAAGAGACGTATAACGCAGATAGTCACAGGTGCATTGTGGGAGCACCTTGCAATGACCTTCGGGAGTGAATATATGTGGCCGTGAGGATACAGAAAACATCTTACCTGGTATACGGTGTGGAGCTGGCCGGAGGCTGCCAGGCATCTGTGAAGATGAAAACAGGTTTTATTAGTGGCGTTTACTAAAGCAGAAGACTAGTTCATGCCCATCTGCGATCCAGACAGGAAGCAATCCTCAAATCATGCCACGAATCATCCCAAATATATGGGACATAACCTATAGAACACCACAGCAATTAATAGAATACCTTAGCAACACCCTGGCAACCACATGGAACACCCTAACAACCAATAGAACACCTTAGCAACTGCATTGCAATGCTAAAAAGAAAACACTGAAAAAAAGTGATACTTAAGAATAAGGTCTCAGTTAACATTAATGCTTTAATTGACAACAAGCAATGCATGTTACAGTATTTATTCATCTTAGTTAACATAACGTTAACACAACTGTTCATTCTAACTTCATGTTTGCAATATGGATCCATTAAAAATACATTTACAATTAACAACATAAAATATATAATATTTAACAAATGGAACCTTATTGTAAAGTTTTAGAAACACCCTGGCAACCACCTAGAACACATACAAAGCAAACAATAGATCAACTGAGCAAATGCATAACAAAAACACCTTAGCAACCACTATAAAACTGTGCTAATGAAATAAACATTCGCTAACAACCACTGAAACACCCCTAGTAATGCCCTAGCAACCACTAAAATATCATAGCGATCACATACCAGCACTAACCACCGACACACCTTGATAACTCCCTTAGCAACTCCCTAGCAACCACTAGAATACCTTGGCAACCAAATGGCAATGACAAAACCCCACTGAAAACAGTAATACTTTACAACAATGTCTCAGTTAATGTTAATGCTATGAGCAAAACATTTGTTAGTTTATTAATCTCAATTACCATAACGTTTACAATACAGTCGTTCATTGGTAGATCATGTTTGCGAAGAGCCATTACATATTAACTAATGGAACCTCATTGTAAAGCTTTAGAAACACCCTGGCAACCACCTAGAACACCACAGCAAGCAACCAAAGGAATACCTCAGCAAATGCATAACAAAAACACCTTAGCAACGCCCTAGCAACCACTAAAATACCATAGCTGAACGAACAACCACTGAAACACCTTAGCAACGCCCTAGCCACCACTTAGCATCACTCAAAACACCTTAGGAACATCCAAATATTCAATTGACCACAGAAGCACGTGGGTAAAAGTTTATAGTTCGGATATCAACACTGATGTCGGTGGTAGCGATCAAAATAGACCAAATCACGTTTGGAAATTAACTTCAAATAAAGATTGTATCGATTACATTATTAGTGACTGTTCAAAAAATAAAGTCATTAAATAATTCATTCAAACAGATTTTTCTTTAATAACTCATTCAGACTACAGCAATAATAATTTACTAGAGGTTCTGACAAAATGTTATTTTGTTAAGTTGTCGGTTCAGAATCATGGGAAAATAGTGATCTCTGTTGTAAAAAAAATAAAAAATAAAAAATTCTCAATTTGTCCAGAATCGGGCAGCTCTAGTTTCAAATCCGATAATTTTATTTGCTTTAATGTGGAACCTTGAATTTAAAACTACAATGATTTTCTGAAGAGGTGCCACAACTGTAAACAAGATCTCAAATGATATAGAAAGCACTTGAGTGGGATGTTTATTCAAATCAAATTGATAAATTCCACTGATTTAACGCAGCATTTTTAGGGAGGAATCTACACCACAAACCAAGCATCAGTGAACAAATAAATTAATCAAACAGAATTAACCTAATTTGTATCAGCTTCTAACTTCAAGGAAAATGGTCTCAAAGATGAAGTGAATTGTGTCGTCTAGTAATATGAACAAGATTTAGTGTTGTTGGGGCGGGTGGGGGACGTCAAAAGTGGCACATTTGCATTTCTTCCCGTGCTAAATGAAATAAGCATTCATCAGCCGGCGCTGCGGCGAGCTCAAGTGCTCTAGTTCCAGCGCTGCAGGTCCTTCACAAAGACAGACTTTAAAAAAAAGTAGCAAGCAGCTTCTTTCCTGATCCACCGTTGCCAAGGCGATCACCAGCTGCGGGGCTCCGAGCTGTTTGTTTTATAGGGGCAGGAGCAGGGATGAGTGAGTGAGTGTGTGTGTGTGTGTGTGTGTGTGTGTGTGTATGTGAGGGACAAAGACAAGAACTTCAGCCCAAAAGAAAAAGCTGTCATTTACAAATGTAGGCTTGAAGGTGGAGTAAAGATGGGAAGAAAATGGAACGGGATTTTACGGCTTTAAAAAGAAATGACCTAGGTGTCGATGCAAAGACATTTACCATAGAAAATAATAAATGCATGTATAGTAACGACTATGGGGCAATTGCACAAATGGCTTTAAAGGGTCAACGAAACCTCAAGCTAATTTTGTTTAGATGTTATCATAGGTTTCACATCAATTAACCCTAAAACCATATTCTGGTCAAATGTGGGGAAAATAATTTATTTAATTTTTAAAAATACTTCCCTTGATCTGAGCAGTACAAGACTTAGCTACCTTTCCTAAGTTTGCCTCCTGAGCACACAATTTTTTTTTGGACTCAATTCTATAATGTTAAGTGGGTGAAAAAAAAAACCTCCTTAATCTTGTATTTGGGTCAAAAATTGGCACCCATAGAAATGAATGGGAAAAACTGTAATTTAGAGCATTATAAAATAAGCCAAAATAAGACGCCAGGTGACGGCAAAGTCACTTCATCTTTAGGTTTTAGCTCTAAGAACTTATTGGAATGATATTTTAATGTACTTAAAATAAAATAAAATAAATAAAACATATAAATAAGCATAATTTACATCGAAAATATGGTACTTTTTGAAGTAAATAAACTCAAAAATACCCCCAAATTAAAAAAAAACACCATAAATGGATAGACAAAACTTTATCGAAGACAGTGATATAATATTTATAATAAATTAAAATTAGGATCACACCTGAGTCCTGTGCCCACATTTGTCCACAATTACAGGATTAAGGGCTATAAAGTGAATACGGTTTGAGGGTTAAAAACAACTGTTAATTAATTAATTATAGGGCTTTTCACACATGAAATGGTCATGTAATCTCCAGGTAAATTGATTCCTGGGTTCTTGCTTCACACTGCTTATAATCCACATTTACACTGCCTAGAGTTTCACACAGTATATTCCTAAATGTTCTTATTTGCATATTTGCCGTGTCATTGATTGGATGAAAACAGCACGCGACCAGTTTACATAAAAACACTGCGCATCCAACTACTAATTTTTAAGTTTACACTGAATGGACTTTTCAAAAATGGTCTCCACTCAAATTGTCAAGTTCTGTCAGCATTTGACATTTTTCTTCTGTCATTGAAATCTCATATAGCTTTCTGGGATTTCACTGACACAAGCTGCATTGAATGCAATTTAAGTCACTTTAAAAAAAAAAAAAAAGAAAAGCATTGGTTAAAAGTAATCAAAGCATCAAGCTCATAACCATCATTACATGATCTAATCAAGAATTAAAGTGATTCAAAACGTAAGATTGTGTTATGGGATTCCCATATAGCTAATGGGATTTCACAGACCAAGTGCTTAAATTGGTCATAATGGAGATGTAAAGTTGACTATACAGAGCATTTTTAATGACATGAGTCTTGTGGCTATTACTTTTGCATATTTCAGCTGCAGTGTCTTGCCTCATTGACGTCTATTGTACATGCCGTACTATAAAAAAGCAGGACGAGACCAATGGTGATTAACAGCATGCAACAGATGCTGTCAGATGTCCTAGACATTTAATTTGGCAGCCAATAAACACCTCCAAAAATGCAGTGAGAGATCTAATGACCAGAAAGAGAGAGAGAGAGAAAGAGGTTGGACCACCCACTTACACCTCTATTATCAAGCACTAATTCATCCCAGCTCATCTCACAACCAGTCAAACGAAAGACAAAATTACAGCCAATTCATCCTGCTCTCAATAAACACCAACTGCAGTCCACACACTGAACGTTGGGAAGTTAAAGCCAGTTGACACAAAGCCCAAATAGGATTACGCATTAAAAACACAACAGTAAACGGTGTTCTCATTAACTTAACACAGGGATTACATCGTCCCAGAGCGCAGACGTACACACACAGATGGACCCTGATCTCTGTAATGAGCCCATAATGAACCTCTACAATACAGCTTATCAATATCCATAGAATGAAGACCGCAGGACTGTAATACACTAGTTGGTCCTTTAGCACCAGCTGTTTTGATTAGGGTTGACAAAAGCCTTCAGCGCGTCTCGGGAACTTCGCATTGAGCCGACACCGCGGGAGGGAGAGGGAGAAGGACGGCGAGCTGGGAAAAGTTAACGAGGATTTGGTCTCTCTGGCTCGCGGACACACTCCACTAGAGAAACAAAGCTCCAGTATGGCAGCATGGGAAAAATGTCACAATGCAAGATATAAATTGCAGAAAAGTCTCATTTTCAGATGGAACACAAAAGGAGATGTTTGTGCTCTACTCAACGAAAGTGACAAGAGACTGTGGCTGTATGTTGTTGTTGTTACTAATTACGTCATCAGGTTCCTATTGGTTTTTGATCTGACTGTTGTCGTAGGAGAAGCCAGACTACAGGACTTCAAAACAAATTTGATCTCCGATGAAATAGTCCAACTCAATCGGCTGTCAAGTCAAGTATGTTTATATAGTGCTTTTCACAATATAGATTGCATCAAAGCAGCTTCACAGTATCAATCAAAACACAATAAATGTTCGTTTCTTAGTGGAAAAATATCCACGTTTGGTAGAGCTGATCAATGGTATTACTGATTGGTTGGTTAATTTGAATATCCCCAACTGAGCAAGCCAATGGCAACAGTGGCAAGAAACCTAAAAACTCCATCAATTGACCTAATGGTGACCTAAAACTCCATGAGGCGACCCAATGGAGAAAAAAAAAAAACAGTCGGGGGCCAGTTCTCCTCTGACATTTATGAACTAGACACTGGATTTACAGTAACTAAGGTAAAAATGTATATGAATATCTCTAAACAGACTTTAAACATGCACCTGTGATAAACCTGTCACATGCACATTAAGAATTGATTCTATAGACCCCTTTTCAGTTGGTAAACATGGTGACGTTTTTATGTGGGCGGAGCTTAGGTGGAGGCAGAACGATCCCTCTGGCTGCTTCATTAACGCTAGGTAGCAAGTATTGTTAGCTTGTTTTTTTAACAATGACTGGAGAAAATCAGATTTTATTTTAATGTATAAGGTCACTCACTGTCCAGGACCCAAGTTATTTTTAACGGACAGAACCAGATTGGCCGACCCGTAGCCGCCTACACGCTCACTCAATGCATGGACGATCTGACAGGATTAACGTACGTTACCTCGGTTGAGTGGCCTGACTTCTAAACCTACCTTATAGAGAAACCGATCGTAAAGAGAAACTGAGGGCATGTAAATCTTTAGATGAATGGTCCTGTACAAGACTTGTGTGTACGATCCGCAGTTCTGCCGAGCCAGCGCAGAGAAAACGACAATGTAAAGAGCGATTCTAATCATGTGAATGTTTTCTAGAAATAAAAAAAATCCAGATACAGCATATTCATTTTTCATTGATATTTGCACCAAACAACACAATAAGATGACATTTAATAATAATAAAAGTAATTTAAGCTCCTTATTATGTAGCCGAATCTGTGCTGGTTTGCATTGGCCGCCTCCAGTTTTCATTTTGTGTTGCTTCCAGCTAGCGCCGCGACGAAACTGTGACGTTGGCGCAAAAGGGGTCTATAGTTATGTGCGTTTGAATATATGTGCGCAGGTTTGTAAGTCCCTACAAAAACCATGCCTGATCAAACTACTTGTCTTGTCTACAAATTTGATACACAATTTTGTTTTACACTTCGGGGTAGGTACGCAAAACGAAATTCACAACGCTTTATGTGTAGAGTGGGAAAGGAATCCTCCATAGGGAGAGGCTAGTTGGCACTTCAGCACTGCATTGTCATCGGGTCCAGGCTAAACTATGTTGGCATTAGTGGAATTGCACTAGCAAACTTATATGACCGTTATCAGTAAATGAAGAGATGTCTTATCGATCACAAGTTCAGTATGGTGTACCGCAAGGCTCAGTACTAGGACCGCTGCTGTTCACTCTGTACATGCTGCCATTAGGAGATATCATTAGGAAACATGGAATTAGCTTTGATACTCAGCTCTATATTTCTTCAAAATCTAACAAAACTTACCAATTCACAAAATTAACGGACTGCATAGCTGATATAAAAAAAATTGGATGACTAGAAATTTCCTACTACTAAATTCGGAAAAAACAGAGATTCTGATTATTGGACAGAAAAAAACGTCCACACGTAATAACCTAGAATACTGTGCAACACATGTCAATCTAGATAGGTAGGTAGTTTTTATTTCGTACCCGCAGGTAAAATTATATTACAGATAAAAAAAGTATTCGGTCATCCACATAAAAACATACAATACAAATATTTCACGTACAAATGTACAAATAGACAACTAGACTTCATGACAAACTGCGCCATAACACATACGTATCCCCTATCCGTATTAACTGTCAAGTGCTAAAACTTCTCTCTTATTAATTAGCAATTCAATTGCAGCTGGAACAAAAGTATTCTTCTTATATCGTCTTGTTTTCCATCTCAAAGCCGCAAAACGGCGACCAGACGGAAGTAACTTAAAATCTATCACCAATCTAGTGATCAAAGACTTCACTGAATCATTCATTCAAACGGCTAATTCATTAAAGAATGAGGCAGTTGTTTATGAACGGGTCATTGAATCTTTGACTCAACCGATTAGTTCAAAAACACCGAATCATTCAGGAATAAAACATGGCCGAGTGTTGCTGTGAGACGCGTTATGGTTCTGCGGTTATCTTTGGAAATATTTTCACTTCTGAAATGGAACAAATTCAATATTGCGTCTAAAAACGTAAGTGAACTCATACGTCAGTGCAATAAACAAGTAGTCATTTTCAATCATTGTGGTATTTAGGAAGTCAGCACTGTTGGTCATGTGATGTTGCCTAACTGTATCATTTGTTATGAATTAAAAAAATAAATAAAAATGTAAATAAAAATGTATCGCAGTATGTTAAATCAAGTTTCTTTGTTCTAATTCGTTTCGATTTCTCCTCTAGAGGCTGCGCGAGCCTAAAAAGCACAACCTTTTTACCGTCAGTACATCATACGCTATCGATCACCACTTACACTAAACGTAACAAAATCAGATTCATTCTTGTGTTTGTGATGTTTTAATTAGGCTACTAGTCCGATCTGGCGAGTAAAATTCTCGCTCACTCGCCCCTTCAGAAACATAAAGCGTTAATGTCTAGGCCCTGAAACAATTCTCAACATTTGTCTCAAACGGTCAAATCGTGGCCAAAATCGTACAGTGTGAACCCGGCTTTATTCATAGAAACATGAATGGCATTGAGGACGGTTACTCGGCTGCATGTTTAACTGGAGGGTTTTGCATCAGGGCCGGAGTGCACAGGCCACTGAAGAGCAGCGGTGATCAGCAAACCCCCCAAACCTCTATTTGCATCAAGTGGCAGCAGGGCGGCTTCCATTCGCCCACAGATGCCATTATTCATCAGCTTGCAAATTGGCACATCAAAGTGACGGCGGAGGAGAGCAGCGCAGGAGCTGCTCACGAACACAGATCACTGTACACATCAAGAGCGACTCCTGTCCCTTGGTGTCACCAAACTACTGTGTTAAACGCTGCTCAGACACAAAGGCCTGTTTCTGGACCACTGGAATAAAAGTGGACTGTAGGCTTGACATTAAGCCTTGTCCTTCAAACAAGTTAATCAGTCATTCACTTGTCCAAGTAAAAATATATATTTTTTGTGGTGTAAATATAATTTATTCTGAAGAAATACTCTTGGATGTTCTATTAGCATGTGATATTTACCCTGGGGGCATTTTTTAAAACTATAATAAGGCAATTTCTCCACTATTCATATTAAATGTATGCTTCGTATGTATGCTTGACCAATAAATCAATTTTTTTAGTTTTAACCAGGCTACTTGTCCGGTCGGGCAAATAAAATCTCTTTCACTTGCCCCTTCAGAAAAACCACTTGTTCCGGACAACTGTTAATGTAGAGCCCTGATAAGGAATTGCGTTTCATATCAAGCTAAAGCTAATAAATGATCTTGATTGTGTGTGCAAAAAGTTCCCTGCCATGATGATCTAAAAATTATCAATATTAGAGGACAACCAGCAAATATTAGGTTCTCATTTTTCAATTATCTTAAGTTAGAAAGTATAACTCACACTGGTTTTGAGGGTAATTGTTTCGGGGTGGACGGTAGTTTCCTTGGTTATAGCTTCTGGGAGGTGGGGCACTGCTGTACTGACCGCCACTATGCTGACCCTCGTAAGACTGGCCACGGCCAAAATTACCCGGCCCTTGATTCATGCCCACATGGTGACTGAAAGAGACAGATGAGACAAAAAAAAATTACATACATTGGAAGTTATTTGTCATTTGGAAGTTTAGTCCCTGGAGTTTACACAGAAAGGATTTCAAAATTGAATATAATCATTTTATAATCCAAATTTATTTGAAAGCATTAATGCATTTCTTTTTACATCTCTTTTTATATATCCAACCCCCCTCCCCCCCTCCCCCATGTCATCCAAGATGCCCACGTCTTTCTTCAGTCGCAAGAAATTAAGGTTTTTGATGAAAAGATTCAAAATGAATTTATCTTTTTTCGAGTCATTTGGTTCATTCAACGAACGAAAATTACTCGAAAAAAGATTCGTTCATTTTGATGAACGAGTTCGAACAGGAGAGTCACGAACAAGCATCACAGAACAGAGCAAGGCGAGCATTTGATCTTATAAAAAATCGTTTCGCTAGATAAGACCCTTATTTATCGTCTGGTGTCGTTTAAAGCCCTTTGAAGCTGCACTGAAACTCTCGTTTGGACCCCATTGAAGTCCATTATATGGAGAAAATCCTGGAATGTTTATCAAAAACCTTAATTTTCTTTCAACTGAAGAAAGAAAGACATGGACATCTTGGATGACATGGGGGTGAGTAAACTATGAGCAAAAGTTTTAAAAAAAAAAGTTAAGTTACAATTTTATTTATACATGTTTTATATAAAGATAAAAAACTAAAATTCGAAATGTTACCTTGTCTAATGAGTAATAAAACAAAAATAATAATAAAACTAATATAAATGACAAAAGCAGAAACTAAATCACCAAAACTTATATAGTATATAAATGTATAATACTGCTTTGGTGGGAAAAGATTGATAACTTGTGATCTGACATATTTAAATATCCATTAAATGCCAAATATTCTGACAGAGAAACATAAAAAAGTGTCACAGAACTATTTGAAGTCCAAGAACACCTGTCTGTGCCATCCAATCAAACAGCTTTCATTAAGAAATTAAGTCTTTGGTGGGCTTTCATCTGCATAGATCTCCCCTAAACACCATGCATAATTCATCTCTCCTCATTGAAGCCTGAATTCACCAGATGTTTAATTAGACCGTTTTACTATTGCACTAATTTGGTTTCTTTTAAACAATACCACTTAAAAAAAAACATTAAATGCAAGAATTCAGCCAAATAAACTGATGGATTCTATGGGATTTTCTTTACTTGAGCTTTCTGAAACCGGATTGGTCCAGATGGGCTTGCTGGCGGTTTGGGTTGAATCCCAGTTGAGGTCTCCATCGGCCACGGTTACTCTGTTCAAAGTCACCAGGTTTCAGAACCTTGCTAGGGATCCTGGAGAGAGAAATTGTAATGCATAAATATAAAATATTCCAACATCATTGCATCACTAAAAAGCTCATTCAATATATTCAAACTCACTTTTATGCGAATATTCAATAGGTCTTGAGATTTATGCATTTCATTGAATAGTGCAGCACTTACTTTGCCCCTGGTAGGATAACAGCCTTGAACACAAAGCCATCTTCATACTGCGGATCCTTGAATTTGATTCTGCCAACCAGAAACAATCATTTAAGCACAAACTTTAAGTGGAAACATCTCATTGCAGAGCCATTCAGATAAACTGCATCAGTCCAGGCTTTTGTTGAACGGCTCTGGGTTTCATGCAGCGCCTGACCTCTAGAGGAACCAGTAAATATCAGCAGGGTAAGGTTTCAATGCCTTACACTACAAAAGTACAACCATGCTTCTTTGAGATGGTCATGTGTGTCACTGAAAGGGCACAAATACGAGTCCTTGAGGAGCCGATAGGGCTTAAAAGAACTACACTGATACACAAACCAAACGAAAATAGCAACTGAAAGGGAAGGGTTGAAAGATGCAAACATCTAGCAATAAATCAATATTGATCAGACGCTATGTGATGCACATTGGTGGATAATTGGTTGACGTATAAAACAAACCGTTACCCAATAGCACAGCTGCTGCGGATGTCTCTCAGTGTTGGGATGGGTGACTCCACTGGTCTGAGGGGAACAAAAAGGATGTTGTTTCACAGGATTTGTAAAGCTTTAGTCTCAAGTGCCTCAACACACATTGTCCAGGTAATGACAAAAATAGGGGTGGAAATATTTCGGCCCCTTACGATTCCATTCAAATTGATTCTAGAGGTCATATTCAATTCATTTCGATTCGATGCATGCATGGATTTGATTGTAGTTTACCGTTTTGTGTTGCTTTTCTCATTTGACTGCGTTTAGACAGTTTAGTAAAAAAAACAAAAACGAACTGTAAACCTTTTTTTAAGCTGAATGCAATCATCACACACACACACACACACACGACTGCAGTCCTCTGTAATAAAGCAAGGCGGCCCTGAGACATACAAAATATCTACTTACTTGAGAGAAAATAGAAACTTTTGCAAATATAAAACGAGTTAATAAAATGAAAAAACAAACAACAGGACAAAATCTATAGAAAAAAAAACAACGTTTTTCAGGTATAGCAACCTAGTTTTATTTAAAATGTCTTAAATACTACAGAAATCAAACAATCAAATGTAAAACCCCCTTTTTTAGTCTTTTCTGTATAGATGAATAATTAATGAAACAGATGGCAACAGGATCTGCAGGGTTTTAACCTTCAAATGGTCTTAACTTCTGGGCTTCGGGGTCTACACGACCCCAACAATTGATTGAGTAATAGTACAAAAAATATACATATTTTATCATACAAATAATATTGTTTACTTCTCATCTATTCATTAATGCTGTGTTTTTGGAGATGTAAAGTACTTTTGTATTCATATACCACACAATTCCTCAACTACACCATTAGCTTTAGCATTAGCATATGCAATGTTATTTTTTTATGATACACTGCATTTATGCTCTAGTACTAGGCCTTCATTTCTATGTAAAACTTTCCAGATTTATGCCAGATTATTATTTTTTTGACACATGAAGAAAATATATTTAGTTTTTTTCACATTTCCCATCCATTTCAATGTGTGGTTATATTAACAGCGAAGACCAGAAGTGTAAACATTTTTTTTTTTTTTACATACCTTCAGAACAACCGAATCAAGCCCATTTTTGTGTGTGTGTATAGATAATAAAAAAAGGTTCCCTTCATCTCAGTGGAATAAGATTTTGACTTTATCATACATTAAGTAAAATTTGATTGGGGTCGTATATCAGGACCCAATTGAGGGCTACTATAGACGCACATCTGATTTGCTCCCTAACGTTAACAGTATATCTGATTCATATGTGAATTGACCCCCCACACCTAGGCAAAACACACAATCATCAAGAAACAAAGGTAAATGTGTTGTCTCCTTACTTATCTGGTAGAATAGGGTCTTCATCTAGATCTAATATACCTTGGATTCCATGGCAAAGTTCTGCAGGGATCTCAGTGGCCTTGAAGAGAGAGGATTGGACATTTACAGACCGAGAGAATTTAAATGAGAACATTGCAGAAACAGAATTTCACATTTGATCTCAATCTTGTTTAATTATTTGCAGCCTAAAATCATGATTAATTGATCAAAAACCTTTCACTTTTCAGCTGGACAATTAGTTTGGGTTAACATGAGTACCTCATGAGATTCTGCACGGTAGAGTTCCTGGATGAAATCACACAGGGGGTGGGACTTCCCAACAAATACGACATCACTTCCCAGACTGTTCCTTCTCACTGAAAGCAACCATCAGACGGTACAGTAAGATTACAACACCAAAGATAAATCACTTTAACTCTTTCCCCACCAGGGTTTTTGATCATTTTCTAACACACAAATTTCTGACCGACAGAGTTCAGCTTTCAAACAACAAAACCATTTTATTGTAGGTTCATGCATTCTTTTTTTTAATCAACACTTGAAAGTGGGTAAGTTTCATAAACAAAAAGCAACATTTTAAGACTACATCTGGATTGGATTACGGTAATACCAATGATGTTTAGTAGATCGAGTTCACACACTCAAAGCTTCACATTCCTATACCTCGTCCTGTGTCGAAATTTCAGGCAGTTTTGATTTATATGCCACGTTTTTTTAGATATGCATCTGTATGTTTCCAATTCTTCTCCACCTGAGATTCGGTACTCTTTCAGTAGATGCATAATAGCGCCCTCTACCATATTACAGTGAAAACACAGAAAACAGTACATTTCGGTTAAAAGCGGAGAAGCTTTGCCTCAAAAGGAGGAAAATTCTCTCAATGGTCGGGAAAGAGTTACAGACAGAACTCTCCTAAACTTTCAGTAATATACTGTTTATTAGCTATGAAGGTATATGCCTCACCCTCCTCTGAGGTCAATTCAGGGTAGACCTGTGCCAACGCTGCGCGTAACCTCCGCTCGTCCACAAACGGCAACAAAGCAACACCTATCACGAGGAGAAGACCACAATCACAATGACGGAAAACAAAACGGCACTCATGGTTTCTGTTCAGACGGTGACGCTCAAGGCTAAGCACTGACCCTGCCAGGCATATTTCTTCCCATTCAAATCAATGGCAAAGTCATCAGGGTAGAAATCAATGATTGAGGATTCCTGTTAAAGACAGATAAAGACAGTTACAAAGAGAAAGAAATTGTTTTTCACGCTCTCAAATGTCTCTGGTGTTAATGTGCACGACTATGGAGGGATAGGCTTTTTTATTTATTTTTTAAGTGTGCGTGTTTATTTAATTATTTTTAAAAGACATTTAAATCTTGTAAAATTATTGAATAAAAAAAAATTAAGGCAACTTTCAAATCGTATTTTAAGTAGAATTTCCAATTGCTTGTCTCGTACATTTAACGATAGATATAACTGAATTTAAATAAATAAATGAATATGTTGAATAAATCTGGTGATCCATGCCTCTTTCTATACAAATTAAATCAATCAAAAAGTCTCACTTGAAAGTCAGGTTACTTGCCATTCTTAGGAAAAAAAAATAAAATAAAATTCACTCAAATTGATATTACATTTCTAGGGCTGGTCCAAATACCATTTTTAAAGCTTCGGTACGCTGTAAAAAAATCTTTTTTTTTTTATTATTAGTAATCACAACATTTTTTCTTTTGTCAAATCAATTTAAATAATTTATTTAGTTCAGAGAACATATAATTTTGAGCTTCTGATGATTAAATCAATCTCCTTCATTGTATTAACTCACTTTTCCGATTTCAATGAACTTAAATTAAGTAACCTGGTTGCTTTTAAACTTGGTTGCTTTAAAATTAAGTTAAACCAACAATATTTTTTACAGTAAAGTAATGAACACTGAATATTCGAAGCTTCTGAATCTCTATACATCAGTCTGTCCGTTTGCATTTTGATTATTTCGAGAACCATTCATCCAACGACTTCACAAGGAAGTGAAGAGTCGTATTTGGTGCAATATAGATAGACAGGCGAGACGCGACACGTTCAGAATTAATAAACTACAAAACAGCGTGAGCGGGAAGTGGCGCGCCTCACGTGAGCAGAGCTTATGCACCAAGAACGGACACTGCAAAACACACACAGGTCTGTTAACTTAAGCAATATTTTTAATAAGTTAGTTTAATATTTTTTTCACAAACAAATTACTGATAAAATAGGCTAGATTTAAATAAAGAAGCGACGCGCCTCACGCGAACAGGGATTATACGCTGCGAGAATGGACACTGCACTTTTAATGGTCACTGCATTTTTAATAAGGTATAGTCTTCTCACTGACAAAGTAGGGTAGATTTAAATAAATAAAAAACGAAATGTAAATAAGTAAAAACAAATTTTAAATAAAAGCGAAATTTAAATAAAAAACGAAAAAATGATTGTACGTTGCGTGTTTGTTATTGTACGGTCTTGGAGTTCTGTTGTTGTGTTGTTCTGCAGAACAGGAACCTGCTGAAAATCAGCTTTAAAGTCCCTGTAAAGTCAATTCTACAAAAAAGTTCTAAACACATTATAAATGTTACATATGTATTGCTAAAACATATTACAAAGTCTGTGAACTGTGAAGTACTGAAATGTGGAGTTAGACCGTTAAACAGTTTTTCACCATTGCAATTTTACGGATTAATTAGGCGGTAGGGCTGAACGATTAATTGCATTTGCGATAAAATCGCGATATGATGAAACGCGATTTTGTAATCGCAAGAGCTGCGATTACACTGGTCACTTGACACGCGAGAGAAAAGCAGTCTGCAAGATAAAGCATCAACTTGCCACGCTACGCGGTCTGGCGTCCAGAAAAGAACAGTTTATTGTGTTATTTATTCTCTCCTCTCCTCAACAATCCTGGATCGATTCAGAGAATTTCAGAATCGAGTATGAGCTTATAGTTTTTAAACACAGATGCGTGAGGACGCTGCGCGTGCTTTAGAAACGAACCGTGTTCTGAATCTGCTTGCTTCTATTTTCTCGCTCTCTCTCTTCCTCACTCACACACACGACACCGCTCGAACCTTCCAAAACATAGTAACGTTATTTTATAAAGGTCAGGGTTGAACCAAATTACAAGGACATTCGCAGGCTTCATTGAACAGGTTTTGCCGCTTTGTTTGATGTTATAACGTTACTCTTGCAGTGCGCGTTCTCTCCCGCGGGTATTTTCTTTACAAATGCTTCACAGAGGCATTATTTATGTATTTTGGAATGCAGTTGGCTTATATTAAAACCATGAAAATCACTGAGAAGGCTGCTTTCATTTTAAAATACTAACGCGTATTTTGTGAAGAGCGCTCGTGCATGCGGCCGTGAGCGACTCATTGGTAAATGTACTTGCATGTCAAAATGCTTTTATGACGCGAAATTGATGTAAACACGGTCAGTTATATCTTAAACCAACAGGACAAACCACATTTACAATTTCAAAAGAGATATATGCATTAGTGTGAATGCAGATTATCGTATCTAAACTGAGGGAAAAATCACTCCAGCTCTTGAATGAAAAACATTCAGACAGCCTACTTTTAAATACTGAGACCACTCTTTGTTTATTGCTTGTAATGTTTTTTTTTGTTTCTCTTTATTTACTAGCTTTTATATTTTAAAGCTATATTATTTTATATAGCCTATTCAAAATTCTTAACATGTAATTGGTTTAATTAAATGTTTTTTTATATTTATTTTTTAAAGTATGTGTTTTTACACATGTAATTAAATACATATTTTAAGAGTTATTAAGATTAATTAATAAGAAAAAAAGTAGATCGGATCATGAGCTATCTAAAGATTCCCATCCCTACTGTACAATGATTTATTGCTTGTCTTTGTCGACTAATACAGAAGGTAAATAACTTTTTTTTTAAATCGCAATCGCAATATTGGTTAAAAAAAAAAAAAAAAAAAAAAAAAAAATCGCAATTACATTATTTTCCAAAATCGTTCAGCCCTATTAGGCAGGGCTAAAACAGGGCTCAGTGACGCACTGGAACCCATGAGCTGCTGGACACTCCCCTATTTGCTGATGCACAGAGTCTGATCTCTAAGTACAGTCTGGTCTGTACTTCCCGACTTTTTTTATCATTCAAATTTGGCTGGGTGGCTAATTACACATTTTTCTGTGGTGTGACAAACTCAGAACACATACTTAATTTTGACTTTACAGCGACTTTAAACTGACTCAGGCCCGCTTGCTCTTAATCTTTTCCTGTTCAAATAAATAAATACAATTTTCAAATCGAATACCAACCCACCCAACGAATATTCGAATATTCGGGTCCAGCCCAATAAATTTCACAAATAATAAGTAAATCCTCCTAATTTTTTCAGTGTATATTATGGAAGTTTAATCCACTGTGAATGCAGTTTCATGTGCAAGTCAGAGGTCCACTCACTGGGTCACTCATCAGAGCTCTCCATGTCGTCGGCAGAAAGTTTCCACTGGCGGCAGGAAATACACCCATGAGCTGCTCCAAAGGTTTGAACTGCAGATGAAGAATTATGATGACATTGTGTAAATCACGAGTCAACACATCACGCATAACAGAGTTTGTGTGACCATGCAATGCGTTTCAAATTACCGGTTTGGTCCCTTTCTCGAAATCGGTGAACATGCCCTTGATGTCTTTGAAGTCGGAGGCAAACGGAGCATAATGAAAGGGAAAATACCACTTCCAGGATGCGCAACCCTGTGACAAAAAAAAACAAAAAACCCAGACACTCAGAGACGGTCCGTCGTACCACACAAAGACAAGTTAAATACATCTTCAGTTGCTTCAATCAGAAATGCTCGATTTTGAAAGACCTTCAACCCAAGTTATTTTTAAGACCTCTTCCATTAGCCCTTTCAATGGGAGACCTTGATACACCATCAATTTTACAGCTCAATTAACACTCCAGAGGGCATTTATACCAGACAGTTTAAGAGAGAACCCAAAGGACTTCAACAAAAGACACACAAACACACTCATGAAACACCAAAATTTGTGGATTTAGTCCATGTCTATTACCTTTCAGGTCATTAACATGCTAGCGCACTCACGCATTTGTTTTTAAAGTAGATACGCTTTTAAAATGTACATCCCCCCAAAAATGATCCAAAACCAACCAGAAAAATACATTTAATAAAGAGGGGCATTTTTTTCTACTGAGGTTTACAATCAATTCATTTCTGAAAATCGTACATTACAATACATGTTTTCTAACGTTTTAATGATTCATCTGAGTCAAGTCCATGACGGTGGCATCGTTACATTCGGTAAACAGCACGTTGTTTATTATTAAGTTTCAAAAACAGCTTTGTAGAAAATATTAACGTATAGCTTAATATCTTCGTGTCGGTCACATTTAAGCAGATTTTCTATATAGTATGTACTTTATGTATGCAGATAAAGTTGGATGTACTATAAATACATTGCTCATTGTGATAATATAGCTTACTACATATCAATACACAAAATATACTCAATCACAATTGTGAATTTAAAGCTAAAAAATGAAAGAAAGAATATTTTTTAAAGAAATTAACACTTTTCAGGGCATGATGACACTTTGTTCCCAAGGATCACATGAGCTCCTAAGTTGAAGATATGACACTAAATAAAGCTTAGGGGCACAATTCAAATAACGTGTTTTCCCTTAAACTTTCCCTTAAATAATACAAAATGAATTATTTTATTACATTAGACAAAAAAGTACACTAGGTTTTTTTTTTTTTTTAAATATTTATGCTTCAAAATGTATTTAATTATCTAATAATTAATAGGTCGTCTTTGAACTCTAAACACTGGATAATAGTTTGTTACCTTATATCAATACATAAAAAGAGAAAAACAAATAAGCTCTCCAGTAACAACGTCTTGCTTTAAAATATTCTAAATTTACTGTATTATCCCAATATATATATATATATATATATATTTATATTTATACACGCACACACCCAATAAATAAAGACCCAAACGTCATAAAACAATCACTAACAATTTTTTTTTTCATTAAAATTTTTGGGATAAATTGGATTTATATGATTGTGAGAGAGAGATATTTGGAAATCTCTTTGGTGAAGTCAGTGGCAGCTTTCTGCTTTATAGAGTCAACCACTCAATTAATTTCCTGCATTAGAATTGACATTGTCAAGTGGCAAAAAGGTGCAAGAAATCCATGCAATAGAAATTATACTTGACACCTCAAATGAAAAAAATAGACACCCTAATATGGGTAAATAAAAGCCATGTGGAGATCTGCCCCTGAACAGCTTGCATTTGGCAGCATCTGTGTCTGTGTGAGTGCAAATCAGTGAATGTGTGGCAGAAAGAACGCATCACACAGTGACGAGACTCCATAACGAATCTGTTCAGCGGTTCCCGTGGGACGGCTCTCATCCGCGAGCACATGGAGCGAGTGCAGGCCACGCATATATATATATATATATATATAGAGCTCCAATTACTGCGGACAAATCCCTGCACACAGGACTCTAATCAAGCAGAGATCTACTGAAGAGAACGGAGCTCTAATGACTGAATTTAAAGCTAAAGATCAAGACCCTGCATTAAAACTCAACTAGATAACACTAACTGGCTCAAAGAGCAGCGCAAACAGCTCAAAGCTGTTTGATCCTACATCTGATGAACAAACAGATAAAGCAGAGGATATTCTGTAACATTTCCTGGATCGTTTTTCAAGCAGAATGTGGAAACTCATAAGAGAAAAGAATAAAAACTAGGCAATAAGTGTAATTAGTCATGCACCGAGCATTATTTAAAAAAAAAAGCAAATTGGCCAATTCTGATTGACTATTTTTTTTTTTCTTTAAACAAGGATTTGTGGTTTATTTGCTCAAGAACATGCCAAACTGACCTTAAACTAAAAACAATTTGTAGCCATTTGAAACTAGAGGCAACCAATAAATTTGTAATCATGATCCAAACAAAAATGCTACACACACATGTAGTATGAGCAGTTGTTTTTGATTTCAATATGATTGGGTTTGCTTCAATCTTGAAATGATAGAGTTGGTAAATTACGCTACATAAGACAAAGCAAAAACTGAATGAAAATGCAAATTCGCTCTGACAGTAGGTGGCGCTAATGGACCCGCAGGAGTTTCTTTAGGCACTGCTGTAAGAAAAAGCAGCTGCGCTTTTAAACACTAATTTATACGGATGTAAGAGGAAAAAAAGTTTTCTGAAGACAGTAGGTTTCCTCCAGAGATACAATAGTTATATTTTTCTTTTAATATTTCGTGAACAGTGAGCTTGCTGCCTGGTACGTCTCTCTTCTCTGCATCTGTCTTCGGCGTGTCTCATGTCTGGCCTGTGTTAACGTCTAGGCGACAAGGTTCATAATATTTTCACACAAATTGCATTTTGGAAAATGATAGCAAGGCAGTTTGTGAGCAAGTCCGGAATAGAAATCGGTAAAAAAATAAAAAATAAAAAAATAATATTTTGGCCAAAAAAAAGTCCAGTTGCTATTTATGGCCCAGCAAACCGGTGCATCTCCATGCGTTATATTCACAATTGCTTCAGGAACTGAAGCTGAGCTGTGGACCAACCGATAGGTAGCTTGTTAGTTCACCCAAAAATTAAAATTGTGTCATCACTCACTCACTCGTGTCGTTACAAACCCGTAAGACTTTTGTTCATCTTCACTAACACATAATATGAAGAGCTTTTTGATGAAATCTGAGTTTACGCAACTACCACTTTGAGGCTTTAAAAAGTTCATGATTCATATGGATTAGTTTTACGATCTCCGAGTCATTTAGTCCTAATTTTCCGAATCGCCTTGCTCTGTTTTGTGACGCACGTTTGTGACTCTCCTGATCAAACTCGTTCATCAAAATGAACAAATCTTTTTCCGAGTCAATTTGTTTGTTTCGTTCGTTCGTTGAATGAACCAAATGACTCTGAAAAAGATTCATTCATTTTGATGAACGAGTTTGAACAGGAGAGTCACGAACGTGCGTCACAGAACAGAGCAAGGCAAGCATTTGAGCTTAAAACTTAAACTTTGTTATTTATTTATTAAATTTTGATTTGATAAGACCCTTATTCATCATCTGAAATTGTTTAAAGCCCTTTGAACAGTTCGCGGTTTGTACCGAAACTGTCTTTTGGACCTTGAACCGTTTGGTTCCCATTGAGGTCCATTATATGGAGAAAAATGCTGGAATGTTTATCAAAAACCTTAATTTCTTTGACAAAGAAATTTGGATGACACGGGGGTGAGTAAATTATCAGCAAAAGTTTTTTTTAAAAGTGAACTACTCCTTTAATACGATTAAATATTTTAATCGTTTAACAGCACTAGTTTAAAGACTATAAACCTTCAGCTTTAGGTGTGTGTACCAGTGATTTACCTGATAGTAGTACCTGAGCACCCAGCACAGGCCCTCCACGTACGACTTCACCACTTTCTTACGAAACTCATCGTCCGTCGCATCCACATCAAATTTGGTTTTGTAGTAACGCTGTTTCCAGCCGTCCTCCCATAACCTGTGAAACATTTACAACACCGTCACAGATACACACGCCTCTCACAGTCTTCTCCAAAGAAAGGCCTGAATTCATTAAACCCAAACAAGCCTCTCCTGTGCCAAATTGAGCAGGTTCACTTTTATGCATATGCACGCCTATGAGAATTTCCCACTTTGACGGGCTCCATTAAGGGGCGATGGGAAACTTGTTTTCCACCTTAGCGCTGGTCAGGATATTTTGACATGCTCTGGGAATGCAGCTCACATAATCAAGGACGAGCTGCATCTGTCTAGTGTAATCTCTACAGCGTCCCACCGGGGACGTGGAAAACCTCCATGAATACCAATTGAACCCAATCGATTTAGACCGCGTTGGAAAGCTCATCACTGAAACATTTGCTGTATTAATCACTGGCTGTACGGACACGCATCAGGGAGGCTCCTGCACGACTCGCACTGAGAGTTTGTGGCACCTTTATTTCTGTAGAACATTATAAAATAGATCATTTCAAAGCAGCTTCACAATAATAAACCGGAAGGTAACAGAATCGATGCAAACTTCATTAAATATGAGACTGGTATAATTAAGTTTGTTTAACACTCACCAGACCAGAACTGGACAGGTTTAGAAGGACTTTACATATGATACACACTTGTATTCAGAAATAGAAAAACAAAAGATGCCTCAAGATGCTAGAAAAATTGACTATTTCCCTAATGATTAATAAAAAATAAAATATTATTCTCACCAAGGTTGCATTTATTTGATCAAAACTACAGTAAAAACAGTAATATTGTGAAATATTACTATTTAAAATAACAGCTTTCTATTGTAATTGCATGTTGTAAAAGCAAAAATTGCACCAGCTTAACACTATTTTGGCATTAAATGCTGCTGCATTATTATCTTTCTCTCTTCTTACCACTGTAATAAATCTCCCAATATTTTTCCCCTTTTTTTGTAAAGTCATAGAAACGCTATTGTGTTTTTTTTTATTCTTTTCCTATTGGAGCAAATATTATATTTTATGTTTCTTTTCACCACTATAGAAATGTATCCAACCATGAAGATGTTTGCTTCTGAGGACCCCAGAAATGTGAACATTTTTATTTTGGTAAAACCTTACCAAAATAAAAAAAGAGATTAGACAGCTACTCAACATTGTGGCCCATCCCTAAATACAACTTGTAATAACTGCTTTAAAGGAGTAGTTCACTTTAAAAAAAAAAAAACTTTTGCTGATAATTTACTCACCCCCATGTCATCCAAGATGTCCATGTCTTTCTTTAGTCGAATAGAAATTAAGGTTTTTGATGAAAACATTCCAGGATTTTTCTCCATATAATAGACTTCAATGGGAACCAAACGGTTCAAGGTTCAAAAGACGGTTTCAGGGCAAACAGCAATTAAACGATTCCAGACGAAGAATAAGGGTCTTATCAAGCGAAGCGATCGCTCATTTAAAAAAAAAAAAAAAAAGTTTAATAAGCTCAAATGGTCGCCTTGCTCTGTTCTGTGATGCGCGTTCGTGACTCTCCTATTCGAACTCGTTTATCAAAATGAACAAATCTTTTTTCATGTCATTTGGTTTATTCAACGAACGAAATGAACGATCTGACTCAGGAAAAGATTTGTTCATTTTGATGAACGAGTTCAAATAGTGACAAACGCGCATCACAGAACAGAGCAAGGTGACCATTTGAGCTTATAAAACTTAAAAAAAAACTTTGTTATTTTTTTTTTTAATGATCGCTCGTTTTGCTTGATAAGACCCTTATTCATCATCTGGAATCATTTAAAGCCCTTTGAAGCTGCACTGAAACTGTCTTTTGGACCTTGAACCGTTTGGTTCCCATTGAAGTCAATTATATGGAAAAAATCCTGGAATGTTTTCATCAAAAACCTTAATTTCTTTTCGACTGAAGAAAGAAAGACGTGGATATCTTGGATGACATAGGGGTGAGTAAATTATCAGCAAAAGTTATTTTTTAAAGTTAACTACTCCTTTAATAACTGACTGCCTAAAATGTATAAATATTGTCAGCCACCTACATGACTATCATCTTAGAACTGTACATGTCAGGAGACAATTTAGAGTAATTTGTTATCAGAGGTGACTATTGAAACGGTAGTGCTACACAATAAATGTGAACTGAATTCCTAGAGTTGTGTTGTTACCTGACGACATCTTCTGGTTCCGGTTCGCTGTCACTGTCATCGGCTTTACGTTTCACGCCACGAGTCTCCGCGCCGTCACTGGTTTCAGCAGCACTCTGAGAGGAAGGACAGTGATGCTGTTTATACACTAAATCAATGACAGTCATGTTCTGAGGTGGTTTGTCAAAAGCTAAAGGCCTTTCAATAATGTTGTACAAAGAGCAGGAGCGAAAAAACAAAACAAAAAAAACATGCCTTCCCATTTTTGATCATGGCTCTCAAGGACTGAGCTGCTTCCTGTAAAATACAGAAACAGCTCATTCAACCAAGGTTACAAAATAAGCATGAAGTAATACAAAAGCAGTAATAGACTGCAGCAGACGAGTTCTGCAAGTGATAATGTACACGTCGCACAAAAGGTTGTTTAAGCAACAAGTTGTGACCAAAACTTAAAGAAATCATATCTAATAGCCGAAACACCCCAAAGCCTACACCCATAGGAAACTACATTAACCCTTGTGCATCAATTAAAAAAAGTTACACATAGGTAAAAAGAGGACAAAAATGTCCATGTCAAAAAACTGTCATAAAAATGTGACGCTTTGGAGCACAGACTTAAGTTTGGTATCATTTTAAAGAAGACCCTTTGCAGATTATTGCTGAAGTGAAAAAATAATAATAAGTGAATCCGAAAAAAAGTTATATAGGTATAAGTTTATGAAAATTATTTATAAAAAATATTTTATATAAAATATATTTTTTTTAAATCAGGTTGAACTCAAAACTGCAATAAAATCAAAGCCATAAATCTAAATAGGTTGTGTTCCAAATTTGAGGATGATATCTCAAAAAATGAGCTTTCGGTAACAGTTTGTTTGGGAGTAGTAACATATTTTCCCCATTGGGTGCCAGCAAAACCCCACTGGAGCTCACAGTGATTGGATTTAAATTAGCAGTTTTTCTCTCTCAGTATTACAAACACACACATGCGCGCACACACACATATTTTTTTATAACACACATACTAACCACATTCTGACATACATACCAACACAGCCACACAAATATTGTTGCATAATTTATCCAGTTGGCTCTATAATATGCCAAACCAGAAAACAGGAATAAAGCGATATTTGTTTTATAGGCCAAACTTAAAAAAAATGACACCATCTGATAAAAAAATAGTAAAAAATAAAATGCCATCAGAATGAAAGCCTCTTAACAAAGATTGCATAATTTTATAGTTAATTGAACCGGGGATTAAAAATGGCAGTTTTAATGCGTTTCAATGGGGACATTTTTGTCCAAAAGGTGCTGAGAGGGAGTATTTTTTGTACCGAATGCAAAACATTTTTTTTTTTTGAAAATGACGGTGAAATAGTAAAATTCCAATAAAAATACACACCTGTGCCAAGTTTTTTGCAGTTAGCTTTAACACAGGCAAAGTGATCAAAAAAACAAAACTGAAAAGGACAAAAATGTCCATAAGGATGCACAAGGGTTAAGAGCAGTAATATTCTAAAATATTTTATATTATTGTTTTCTATGTGGATATATTGTAAGATGTAATTCATTCCTGTGATTCAAAGCTGAATATTCAGCGTCAAATGATCCTTAAGAAATTATTCTAATATGCTGATTTGCAGCTTAATTTTTTGCATGTAAACAGTTAGATATTTTTTTTACAGGATTATAAAAAAAAAGAAAAGAAATAGCATTAATTTGAAAGGGCAGCCTTTTGTCTTTCACTTCTGATAAATTTAATAGACCCTTGCTGAATAAAAGTTTTATTTTTATATATATATATATATATATCTTGGAACTTGGTGTACACAATCTGCAAAGCTTTCTAGTTCATTCCCTCAAAAGAAATTAAGTACATAATTTTGTATTTTGATTTTTTTCATATAATTATCAAAATTGACATTTATATACGGAATGAAATGAAAGGGAGAAATAATTACAGCACCAAGGCTGCTGAAAGGACTGGTGTTCACCGCTGTGCTCATGTTAGGCTGTAGCCCATATTGACAATCACAAAGGCAGTGTGACGGCAGACCTGATTGCGCTGGTTGCCCTGCATCCTCATTTCATACGCGGTGTGCCTGGCGTTCTGCACTGCCATGGGTCTGTCTCTGCCGCCCAGAGCCTGAGGGGCGAACTGACCCCGAGGGACAAACGATGGACCCTGCTGCTGCGCCTGGGAAGAGTGCAATTAACAGTTAAAAAAAATGATGATATCCATTTATTATGCTGGCATTATATATTACGATTTTGCTGGTAAACATATTTTTGCTACCAACATATTTCTTGCTATTATGTTAATTTATGTTTTGTTATATTGGTGCATACAAAAGGTTACATTTGGTAACTGCATTAATATTTAACAATACTTCTATTAATGCATGTATAAAATCAAAGTGAACTAACATTAACAAAGACTAATAAAGGCTCTAAGAATATATCGTTCCTCCTAGTTAGTTAACCAATACTGTAAAGTGTTACCAAATAGTTTTATAAAAAAAAAAAATATGTAGCTTTATTATCCACTCTTACTAATCACCCCTGTTATTTGCATGATATAAATGCACATTCAATGTGAGTGTGAACTATTCAGCCGCTGTCAGCTGAATTAAATGACCTTGTGCATTGATTCAACTCGCTGGCTTTCAAAGGAGCTGTGGGTTTATGCATGCTGTTAACATTTCAAAAGAAATTGCAAAACCTAATTTTTTCTTTAATTGCACGTTTTCACTCACTTTCATCCGTTTCTTCTTATCCTTCATTCTCCGCTTGAAACTCTCCTGCAGGATATAAAAGCCTATGATGAGCTGGTTCAAGTGCACATTTCTGTATCAAAATCAGTGTAATGGGTCAGAGGTCACAAGCTCTCTGCAGCACAGTGTTGACCGCAAACATTTATTGTGCAGTCTCACATCGTCCTCTTTGCGCTTTTTGAAGATGTTATCCTCGGCGACCCCTACGGCTTGCATAATGAGCTCTACACGCTCGAGATGGACAAAGCCGTTTTCTGTTAAGTAGCCCTATAGAGAGAGAGAGGAAAAACAACATTTCTATAGTGCATAAAACCATGGTCACACCATTGTAAATGACATTAAATGAAAGCAAATTCATGTTGACTTCAAGCATGGGATATATGGAGATGTCAATCCTCACCCCGGTCTTATGAACGACATCTTTGTAGATGCCAACCAGGCGATCGATGGCGCCCTCTCTGTTTGAAGACAAACTAGAGTCAGAACTCACTCCAGCGCACAATGAAACAACAAAAGTGGCTTCAGCGAGCGTACCTGATCTCAAGAGACGGTAAGTGGGGCAAGAAGTCGTTTCCCACAAAGAAACATAAAAACACCCAGTCATCGATGCTTCGCTCAAAGACAAATGGGAACGGCAGGCTGGCCATCGTTAACTCCCTCTCCAGATACTGTGGAGCAAAAAAAACATAAACAGACAAAAATGTTCACATAAATATACATGATCTGATTTTTTACAATTCACAATATCCAAATTTTGCACATTCAAACATTTTCCTCAAAAGCATGAAAGTCTTGTTCATAGTGACCATGAAATCAAAATTGACAATTCTTGTTTTAACCTTCAAATGGTCTTCGTTTCCCGTTTAGATTTCTGGGCTATATGACCCCAACAATTGATTGAGTAATTATACATTTTTAATCATACAAATAATATATCTTTTTCTGTTTACTTCTTATCTATTCATTAATGCTGTGTTTTTGGAGATATAAAATACTTTTGTATCTATATACCACACAATTCCTTAACTACACCATTAGCTTGCATATGAAATATTATTTTTTTAGTTATGATACACTGTATTTATGCTCTAGTACTAGGCCTTCATTTCTGTGTAAAAATTTTCAGCTTTATGCCAGATTTTTTTTGAAACATGAAGAAAATATATTTAGTTTTGACATTTCCCATTCATTTCAATGTGGGGTCATATTGAAACATTTGAAGTGAGAAGTGATTTTTACATACCTTCAGAACAACCGAATCAAGCCCAGTTTGTGTGTGTGTATAGATAGATAATCTATGAAGTCACAAAATCTTATTCCACTGAGATGAAGGGAACCTTTTTTTATTAAGTAAAAGTCGATTGGGGTTGTATAGACCCCATGACCCGATTGAGGGCTAACTTGTGTTAATAAATATAGCACTATTTATTATACATTTATTCGTGCACATGTTTTTAATTGATGTGCCCTTTTAATCTTGAATCAAAATATTTCCCCCTGCCTCTTCTCTGATGATGCGTTTACTGGTGTGAGGGCGGGGCAACCTGTCACTCACATTAGATCCACCGAACGCAAACCACAACCATCCAATCAATTCCCCACAGACAAAATCAAGTCCCGCCCACATTTCTTCTTGTTCCAGGAGCCGTTTCACTCTGATATACGTCATGATTCATACTTTGCAGTCACGTGACTGACTACCATGGATGGCTGGCGGGCAACAAACGGGTATTTTCAACGTACAGTCCTGTAGTTCCAGGTCTTTCTAGTAGCCATCAAGTCTGTTAGCGAGCTAGCTGCTTAACTATGGACTAGGATTAACTCCATGATGAAGGCAGTTAAATTGTGTAAAGCAGACAAGGTTTTTTTTTAGAAAATCGAGCAGTAATAATTCCTCCGTAAAGAATCTAGCCTCACAAACCTCAAAACAACCTATCACACTTTTGTTGTTGTATTGTCGTACCGCCACCGGCAATAGCGTCAAAGTGTGCGGAAGTCATTTATTGTTCAATTAATTTTGCCGCTCAGGGCGGCGGTGTGAACGTATTATTATTATACGATTAATTACATGATCATACAGCCATTGTATTCAAAGAAATGTTGAAATTACCTTGAGTTATGGAACGATCACTGCACAGACGTGTAACGTTATACTGTGAATGTTGCTAATCTCATCTGGTTAGTGCAACCAATCGCACTTCAACTATCAGGCGTGTCATTTACACCTCGAAACACCAACTTTTGTCTAAAAACTGGCAACGTCCTGGCAAAATCCTTGACTAGTTTACTTCTTGTCCGCCAGCCAGTACTTGACGTCACGTGCAAAGTATGAATAGGAAAAGAAAACACTATTGCAACTTCCGTTAATTGACTTAAACTAGCAAAATCTAATAATCTGACAAATTTAGACGGTGTAAAAGCATAAACAACTGGAACAAACCTCTCGTAACACAGCCAGTCGGATGAATATGAACTCCTGTTCTGATACTGGAATTTTGTCTGCAAATTCATCATGCTGAGAGAGGAGACACAAAATAAGTTGTGTTCATAATAAACTGAGGTAAAGTTCTGGGCATAGGGATGGAGAAGACGAGTCCCCTTACCTCGCCCCGTTTTTCTCGGGCCAGACCCTGACAGTCTTTAATCTCGTGGCCCATCTGATTACACAGGGCGCAGGGTCTGGGTTGGTTGGGTTTAAACTCTTCTCTTATAATGGTAAAGTTGGGTTCATGTGTCGCCAAACCCAACATTATCAAATCAGCTAAACAGGAGGGAAAAAAAGAGAAAATTAAACATGTAATTATTAAGTTTACTGAATTAAATTCTTTTAAAGTGTATTATTATAGACAGTTCAAAATCATTTATAGCTAGAAATGTTTCACATAATGACAAATCGAGAAAGTACAAAGACAAAACGCTTGTATAACAAACATGCAGACAATGTTCTTCATAAATTTTAATGGCAGGTTTCAGTCAGATTCATATATTGAAGTATCTTCTATCCAGACTAATCAAATCCAGTATATGTTTCCTCATTTGTCCACTAAATGCATTAATACTACAGAGTCAGACAATGTTTTTAATGTTTTAAATCTAATAAACCCCTCTCATAACAATGTTCTGCAGCTTAAAGTCAGTATGAAATGGAAGTTAGTGCATGGATGAATTTATTATTTCATGCCGACATTACAATGACATTTGGAAACAAGTATTTAAGGACACACTTTCAGAATTTTGCTCACTAAAGTCTAAACTAGATAGGCCAAATTCACTTTTTTTTTTATGAAAAAAAACAAAAACACTTTACCATCAGCTCCACAGAGACAGTGATGCGTGTTTGGGTCGTGATTTGGCTGACCTGGAAAAGAAAATGACCCATTAGACCAGTAAAGCTCTTAGCTAACCACATTTTAGACCAGTGTTTCTCAAACTTTTTCAGCCCAAGGACCACTTTATCTTCCATTTTTTTCTGAGGACCACCTAACAAAATCCCACTCGAACACACCCCCAAAAAACAAAAAAAATTGTAAGGATAAGCTAAATTTAAGTTAAAATTTAACTCCTAACTGAGCTTTGACTGATATCGGCTTTTCATTTTTCTGTCAGTGAAGAAAGTAACAAGAGTCAACTGATATAGGTTGATTTTGCCTATGAATAATTTTCTCAAACGCGTTTATTTACTGAAAGCTAATGCTTGGTAATTAAGTTTATTAAATGCATTCACAATATGTATAGGCTACATATTATTGTTTGTATGCCTAATACAGGGCCGTAGACAGGGCTTTATAATCAAAGAGGTCCTAAATTTGAGGTTGGTAGGCTTCACATTTTTTAGTTATCTGATATTTGCATTTACAAGACCAAGACCAAAAAAAAAAAAAGGATAGGAAATTGCTTTAGACTTAATATTTGGCTTATCCTAAAACATATGTGGGACAGTTGTTTATTTAAACAGAACACCACAGGAAAAGGCTTCAAATAATAATCAAATACCACAAATCAAAGCAATATTTCAAAAGACCTTCACAATTTTAATTTCTCAGCTTTACCTCTCTGTCTCCTGATGAAATCCATAATTTTATGCTCTCCTTCACCAGGAACACTGGCGTCCGACAAGAAAACCTGCAGGACAAAGTAGATATTTATTGATTATATCCCACAGCAAAATAAAAACTCATTTTAATTGCACTTCATTTGAGTACTCGTATGGCCTACTGTGATATTACGCCATCCAGGGTCATTGGTCAGTCTGTCTGAGATGTAATATCGCAAACATTTGGCCAAATTATCCATGAACTCGGTTCCCTAAACACACAACAGTAGATGTCAATAATGAAACAATCAGGATGACATGGCCAGTACATATGACACATAAGTTCATTTAACCATCCAAAAAGTATGAAGACTTACAGGGGTGATGCAGTTACTGTCAAAACGTTCTTTAACTCCCTCAGGTGGCAGGTAACCACCTACAAGAGAAGCATTAATCAAGCAGAGAAACTACAGAATCAATGCGTCACAAACACCAAATTCAATTTTAGTGCTCATTTAATCCAACTTGAACACATTCTTGGTTGCATGTCACATGCAGGCTCACTATTGGCCATCGTGTGATGGACAACCTAGAAGCGCTGCACTGTTATCTCCTAGATGAGCGAAAGTCTTATGGGGTTGGAACAATATGAGGTTGAGTAATTACTGAGAATTTTCATTTTGGGGTGAACTATCCCTTTAATTTCTGCAGTATTGTTACACTGATTTTTGAGACCCACCTTAAAATCTGCATTCATTTGTTAGTTCGCAAATTGTTTATTTTTTATTTTATTACTGTTTACTTGTCATTTATTTAGTGAATGTAGTTTAACATTAAAAAAGCCTCCCTGTGCTGTGCTTAAGCCATTACAACAAAATTACGGTGGTAAAATTACGGCGGCGTAGGCTATATGGCCGTTTTCCCCGTGGTATAAGGTACATACAAGATGGAAATTACAGTATTGTGATAACACGACTACATACAGGTAAACAAAATATTATTTTTTTTAAGGTAAGCATTTCATTTTCTTTTTAAAACCAGTTATTTGAATTGTGTTTTAACAATTTAATTATTAGCTTTTGACAAGCGGCAACATTCTAATCTGAAAGATGAAGCCCACCCGGAAGTGCGATAAACTGCAATACATCTCAAATCCGCTAGAGGCCGGTCCCAAAAGGGAGCAAATATCCATAGACGTCATGTTATAATGTCCGTTTTCACAGCATAAATTCATATGTTTACAGTTTGGTCCCATGGACTTTTATTGTAATCTTCAATATGTTCCGCGTGCCTGGGGTGAATTTTTTTCTAACTCGTTAGTTTAGATCATATTTAGATATAAAACGTATGACAAATAAGGGCGGTTAACTTTGATTGACAGCTGATAACGGGCTGCGCCGAGTGAATTTGACGTCTCAGCCATGATCTGACACAACACATCATACCACCTCTGTATCCTTTCTGAAACTTTTGTATTTTCCAAGATTTTCCAGTATGGCGCCGCCCATACCCCCCATAAACAGCTTCAAACCCGTTCTTCAGAGAGTCTATGTGTGAGGTCACAGACGCTTTGTCCATATTTTTGACAGTCTATGGCTTTTGATCAATCCAAGAATTTCCATCACATACCCAAAAGATCAATGGGAATCCCTGGATGAGTGAATGATGTTGTTCTCACCTCTCTGAATAACTTCTTCTCTCATTTTCTGTTTTTCCTCTACAAGCTCCGCTCCTTCCTTAGATGCCCGGAAACGTCTTGATCGCTGCTGGTTCATTTTGGCACGAGGAGCCTACAAAAAAATACAGATGAGGAGCACAAGAAATGCTTAATGAAACGGTCTACAACTACAGTGTGCATAATTCATGCATGCACCATTTTATTTTCAGAGCATTAAAGAAATGATGGATGGTCACGTTGATGATTACCCGAGTCCTAAACCTTCTTTAGTATTGGAAAACTGTTGACCAACTACATAGTAATAGTTTTAACTGAATGTTATTATAGTTTTTGCATTTGTTATTGCATTTTCCATTATATTTCGGGAAACATTTATGACTTTATAGCCATATAATTACCAGCTAGTTAAAAGAAATGTAACATTTAATGAAAAATAAAAACATTGTCTCTCTAACACATAAACACATTTCACCACAAAGTTTGCAATAATTCCCAGTTGCCCACTCCTGAATTTATGTGCATTAATAAAGAATATTTTCAATACAATGATCCAGAATTGACTTGTTATTCTCTACAGAGAAGCATCAGTAATACTGAAAGTAAGTAGATATGAAGATGATTATGAAGGATGATACATACCACGCCATCAATTGCCATGTACAGAACCCGTCTCGGTCGAACAATGTTAAAGAGACGGTCAATGTATTCAAAAATGGCAACCATCATTTCATCTTCATTTTTAGGTGCTGGCCTGCGAATGGTTAAAAGATGTTTTAATAAAGTCACTTGAAGGGATAAGTTCACAGAAAAATGAAAATTATGTCATAATTTACTCAATCTGAAGTTTTTCCAAATCCGTATACATTTTTTTTCTTCTGCTGAACACAAGAGATGATATTTTGAAGAATGTTTGTGACTAAACTGTTGGGCAATTCTTTAAACTCAAAATATCTTTTGTGTTCAGCAGAAGAAAGAAATTCATTCAGGTTTACAACAACTTGAAGGTGAGTAGATGACAGAATTGACATTTTTTGGTGAACTACCCCCTTTAAATACATCAAAACATGTCAACAAGAGAGAATCTCACTTGTCCTCAGGATGTGTGCACGGGTGAATAATTCCATTCATGTCTAGATACAAGTTGTCAAACTCCACTTCATTTGGGTTCGGTTTGCTGGTATCAACTGGGATTTTAATTCCATTGTACTCCTTGGCCTGAAAAAAAAGAAATGTAGATATTACATAAAGATATTAAACCTAACTGACCAATCTACCTAGTCTTTAGTCTAAAAAAACTGTCCAACTACATTTATTTACATGGTAGAGTTGCTCAGAAGCGAATTATTGACTTTCAGAAGCTGAAAATTTGCATACTTCTCTGTGATTGGTTGCTCGTTCGAGCGGTCTCGCACATCTAGTCACCCTAAAATGCGGTCTAGAAGAGATAGTAACCTCACAAGGTGTTTGAGACACGACCAGAAAATCGCATCTCTAATTTAACTAACTTACGGTAAACATGAAGGCTATTCAGCCAAAAAGATTAAATTAAATCTGAAACGAACTCGAACACATGTGCGCGTCAGGACTGCAAAGCTTATTTCATTATAACCATTCTAAGTGGAAATCAAATGATTAATCACATAATTAATTAAATAATCCTTCTGATGCTGTCGTGTTTGTGTCTTACCTTCTCCTCCAGACAGTGTACTACTATCGACGGATACTTCCGACTCAACCAGCGGAAAAAAGCGGGGACTCCCATCTCCCGTAAAATTCAGCACTTTTAAACGAAAGAGCACCTTTAAAAACGATTAAAAACAGCGAAACACGCAAGTAGGAGGAAAACAACCAGCAAACACAGAGCACGCAGTTGATTTACCACAGCACAAAACTTCCGGGTCAGCAGGAAATGATGCAGAAAGAAGCCAACCACGCGCTGGCTAAAAACAGAATTGCACCTCTATATCAACAATCAAAACCAGCAACAAAAGAGTAGGCTACAATTAAGAAATTATAACAAATCAATAATAACGAAACAATAAAAACTTATTGTATCTATCTATCTATGTTGTTTGCGTATGTTTTTTGATTGATACTATGAACCAATCTAAGCAATCTATATAAGCGCTAGGCTATATAATTATACATACTTGATATATATATATATATATATATATATATAAATTATTTATTATAGTTTTCAAAAATCATTTAGAGTGGTTTTAACTCACAGTTGTCCTTGAGCACAAAGTAATGGAAAAGAGATAGTACAAAGATTTACTGTAATACTAAAGCGATTTTAAGTGTTTGCATTTTAACAACTCATGCTGATTCGAAGAGAATTTTGTATCAGTATCAGTTTATGTCTTGTAATTGCATTTATTTCACTATAGTGGCAGATTTCGGTAGCTCCTCTCCAATGCAAATGAGCATCATATGACAATCTATGAAGACTTGAAGTATTCAGATGATTTCTGTGAAGAGCTGTTTGATCTTTGGTGATGCAAATTCGGTAGTTTGTCCTTGTCTTCATTTGCTCTTGAGTCTTCACATTACGTCCACCAATCCAGCGGCTTGTTCATTGATGAAGCCTCTTGTCACACAAACACACAAAGACACACGCAGAAACATTTATGAAATTGTGGGCGAATCACATAGGCTCAATAATTCAGCCCTCCATACAACCAGAGTAATAAGCAAACCTTTACTTAAACCAAAAAAAAAAAAAAAAAAAAAAAAACACACATTAAATGTACATGCGTCTCTTGAAAAAAAATGGACATACTGCAGTGCAATCTTTTATGATGTCAATCAAATCATGTTTACCTCCTCTGTAACTACACATTTCATGCAGAAAACAGCTTTCAACATTCCCAAGATCCATCAGCTCTCCATCAGCTCTTCAGAAGGCAAATAACCATCATAAGCAAGTCATTTTCGGTCACAGCTAGATATGAAATATTTACTTTCAATCATATAATTCTCTAGAAACATAACCCAAATCATGTTGTTCTGAATTGGTCTTATAGGGAAAACATCAATTTTGCAGAATGTGATGCTTGAAGCTTAATATCTCAGCAATCCAATATACATTTGCCTATATAAGTAAAAGCCCTTTTACACCACAGACGAGAATATATATGAAGAGTTCAGATGCAAAAGCCTCTAAGTGCCATTTGAAATTTTCTTCTAGAATGATCATTTTTATCAAGCTTGTATATTTAAGTTCAGTGATTTCACTTAAATGGCAATGATAATTACCTATTAATTGTTATTTAAGTGAAATTACTGAACTTAAATATACAATTTTGATAAAAATCATCATTAAAGAAGAAAATTTCAAATGGCATTTAGAGGCTTTTGCATCTGAACTCTTCATATATATATATATATATATATATATATATCTGTCAACCTGTATGAATTTCTTTCTTCTGCTGAACACAAAAGACGATATTTTGAATAATGTCAGAGTTCATGAGCCCCATTGACTTCCATAATATATTTTTTTCCCATTCAACTGTCTGGTAAGTGGTAACCAATATTCTTCAAAATATCTTCTTTTGTGTTCAGCAGAAGTAAGAAACTCATACAGGTTTGGAACAACTCGAAGGTGAGTAAATGATGACAGAATTTTCATTTTAGGTAAATTGTCCTTTCAAAGATATAAAGCGCTTTGTTTTCCTGCATTCATTCTGCATTGCTTTTCATAATCGCACTGCTCCCTTGTGGTGGACTGTGGCACTTCAGATGCCTTTCGCTTGTAGACTCTTTACTCAATATTTTTGTAACACTTTTATAAAGCCTCATTTGTTAACATCAGTTAATGCATTAACTAACAATGACCAATACATTTCTATAGCATTTATAAACCTATTCATTTTATTTGAATTATTAGGGCCTGTACTGACTCATCATGATCATTTGGTACACGATTCTTATAAATAGAGATGATGATTCTTCTTCATTAAAAATGAACAGCTTCAGAGCAAACAAAACATGTTTAAATTGAATCATCTGATGCTCACAAATACAATGAACGCATAAATTAATGAAAGTACTTCATACATTTGCATATAATGTGTAATTTCAAGAAAAAACATTTGCATAAATTGTGTTGAATGAAAAATGTAACCACTAAGTGTTTTTCCAACAAATAAGCATTCTAAAAAGTGAACATGATAAAAAGGCAATGTAGAGAAATGGTTAAACACACTATATATATATATATATATATATATATATATATATATATATATATATATAAACTGTTCGCTACAATTAAATGTTGACAGTTCTGACTCAACATGGGAGAAGAGCTTAAATATTTCAACTTGAAGAACAGCGTCCTCTGCTGGACAGCACTTTACTTTAGTTGTTTTGATGTGCCATCTCAAAATATATAGGTGTAACTTATATATATTATATATATATATATATATGTATCTTTCCAATGTAAAGAAATCCAGTAATAGGTCACAACATTTTTTCTTATATATGTTTGATCAAGCCCATATAGCAAAAAGAAGTAAATACACCAGACAAAAACAAAAAAAAAAAAAAAAAAAACACATTCATAATGTATAGAGGGAACTGTAAACAGGATATTTTCTAAATTCAAAATCAAATCATTATCTCATTTGGATTTACAACTAGTTTAACAATGTACTTTTCAATTTCACAAACTTCTGTTGAACATCAAATTAGAATTCTTTGTACCAATGAAATGAAATAAAATATGTCAATGGCAAATGTGCAAACAGTTGCTCTTTAGTAGAGGACCCAGTAAATTATTCCTCGTGTTTTTTAGCATTATTCCCATTATTGTCATTCAGGGCATGCAAAGTGTTTTGGCCTTTCAGTGTAGTACCGAGTTCGACCAATGAGGATTCACTTGCAACATCTCATTCTGGATTCATAACAAGAACCCTGACAACAATACATCTCTCAAAGGCTCCTGAATAGACAACCTTAACACTCACATAAACAACACAGACCAATTACTTAATCAACACATAATGAGGTTCCTTAAAAATGAGCAGATGCATTTAGACAGGAGCAATTGCACAAATGTGCAATAGACAATCATTACATTTTAAAATTCCTTTACGATCATTTCAACATGTATCCTATTCCTTTAATATTCAAAAAATGATGCCGAATTATTATGCAAAATGTAACTTCATATTTCCTTTTTTTGATTTTGGGGTAAAATGACATGTTCTGTCAGATGTTTCAACTCCTTGTGAATCACAAAATTACAATAAACATACGCAAAACATCAAGTTTTGAGACCTTTCTCTCTTTTTTCCACATTTACATGTTGGAATGCAAACACATGAAAAGCTCAATCTCAATTCACATGCTACAAAGGATCATTTTACACACCCAAGGCTGAGAGCGGGCCTTGAACCGCGGGCCTCATTCAGAATGCCTTAGAAAAGAAGCCCACTCAAGATGGTTTTGGTTTAAAAAAAAAAAGAGAAAAGGATATCGAAAAGCAATCCTACCCAGCACCCAACTGACATTCATATGCCATCACGGTTAGCATCTTCTAACAGGATTTTGCATTAGTACAATCCATGTTAAATGAATGAGGACTTTGCATTAAGGATTTGTTGAGATGATCACCCAATAGGGGGGAAAACGACTGCAAAAATGTCCAAAAATCCCTAACAAATCTGCAGCTGACTGGATTTGAAAGAATAGCCACTAATTAGCAATAAAGGAAAACCATACAGAAATAACAGAAACATTTTGGCTCAATTGTCAGACTAAAGCGGCCAGTTTGACCCACACCAGTTAAAGCATACTGTTCAGGTCATAATTTTGACGGAAAAAATATTTCTGACAAAATCTTGGCAGTAAATGGGTTCAGTGGAGAACAGATACAAACATAAATGGCAACAGCATAATTGCCCTTGATTCGACAGGATTACACAAACTCTTAATCAATGTAGATTTGGAATTCATCTATTTTGATCTGTGTTGAGATAAAAAGAAGAAGAAGTGTTATTAAAGCCAATCAGGATGTGTTAATTAAAGCCAAGAGGACCTTTGAGCAAATAATATTTGCAAATGAGCGCACCTTATTGCTTTTATAAAACGGTTACCACACAATAAAAATATTAAAACAATAATAGTGTTTTGCAGTAAACAATTGTTTGCTAATGTTAAAACTCTTTGAACAAACAGCAGATGTGATAAGTAAATCAACTATCATTCTAACAAACAATCAACAAATATCTATTATTAACAAGTAAAAACACATTCACATAGCCTAGGCAAGACTAGCTATAGGCTATAAAAATGACAGTCAGCAGTCATTGGTGCTAAACAAATAGGCATAAGACAGTTCAAAGAGTCACAAAATTATCCCACTAGTAGCCTACGTCAAATAAAGAGACTACAAATTTTTCTGACTTTTTCGGCCACCGGCCACTGTGGCAGGTGGATTTAAAAATTCACCTGCCACAGAGACTTTTTACCTGCCTTTTTTTTTGCCTCATAAAGGTGAACCAATTAACACATAAAGGGGGACACACAGCACACAGACATATAATGGCCATTACACACAATAAACGAATATGAAAACACCCAATATACATAAAAAAAACCACCTCAAATAATACTATCAAATGATTTCACTTAATAAATATACTTCTTATAAACAAACAAAAGAAAAGCAAGCAAAATAGTCCTTGGAGTTCCCCCGGAGAAGAAACCGGAATGGTTGTGGCCCGATCATCGTATGTCGTACCATATAAATTACGTCCAATGTTTCCACTCGAACCCTTTTAGGACGGTGCACCAGCTCACGGGACTATCAAACAAACAAACAAAAAGAACGGTAAGAATAAACGTTACGTAACTCCAAACGAAAGTTTAAATAAAGTGTATAAAACCAAAATAATGTTTTGT